AGAGAATAAATCTTTCTCCCTTAACGTTTCGTTTTCCTTGTTTCGTTTTCCTTCTTAAATTCTTGTGCTATAAAATCCAAAAAAGATTCTATGTAAAACTCACATTTTTCCTCTCACATATCCTTCTTGAATGTTGATTTTAGTGTTGGGTTGGTGGAGGAATGTGTCCTAGGTTGAAATTCCAATCCTTGCAAGAAAAAAACTCTTTATTCCAGTGGGATTAAGACTTCTCATGGGTGTCAGAATGACCTTCTGAGTTGTCTTCATGCGCATGTGTGCTGGGTATATGCAAGTTGTCTCCGTGCACGTGCAGGCATTTGTTTGTATTGTCCTCATACACGTGGCCATTTTTCTTGGGATTCTATTTGGACTTTTGGGGGTGCTTTTGGCCTAGCTGGGCTCACATCAAGTCCTCTATAATTGGGAGTTTAAAATATGCTATGGTTTGCATCTGACTAGATATTGTTCATACTTTTGATTTAGTAAGCATGTTTTTTTAGAATCTTTAGTAAAGAACATTGGGAGCCGATGAAATGGATTAGTAAGTACTTGAGATGTGCTTTTGAGATGTATTTATATTTTAAAGGCTAGAAACTAATTCTAAATATATATATATATATATATATATATGCACATATGGTAGATGACCTTGATTGGAGGAAGTCAGCTTCACAGTATGTGTTTACTTTTGTCAATGGAGTTATATCATGGCAGTTTAAATTATAAAAGTGTGTTGCTCTATCCAAAATTGAGGTAGAATATATAATTATGACCAAACTAAGTAAAGAACTACTTTAGATGAAAATATTTCTTGATGTGTTGGGTTTGAAGAAAAAGGAGTATCAGATAAATTTTGATATTAAAATTGCTCTAAATTTGACTACGAATGCCAATAATACTGTTGGGCTAAAAATTTTGATATAATATACCATTGTATTTATGAAGTGGTGATTAATAAAGAGACGTTATCAAAGAAGATTCGTACTAATAAAATTTCGGTTGACATGTTGATCAACATGGTGATTTGTGACAAGTATTAGTTTCACACCAAGATGGTGAGACTTAATGGTAATTAAGTAATAGATGTGTAGATATCTCCCCATAGGTTAGGGGAGAAGATTTTTTATTACAGTCTAGTAAGAAGAAGGTAAAAAAAAAGATGAGGAGAAGATGTACACACTACTAGGAAGAGATAAGCCTTAAATCTAGAGATAAACCTCAAATCTTTAAAGGATTTTCAATTCGGGGAAGCAATAACCCTAGGATATTTTTAGAGGATCTTCGACCACGAGGAAGAGATAATTTTTCCATGTTTATTAGAGGATTTTCATCAAGGAAAAGCTTATCCAAATAACTTCTCTCGCTTATAAAAGGAAAATCCTTGAAACATAAAATAAGCAAGCTGAGATAAAGGATGTTATGTACAAGGAGGGAGAGAGATAGAGAGAGAGGGAGTGGGAGGTTGAGAGAGAAGAAATAAAAGAGACAAAGTATTAGAGAATTAAAAAAGGGAAGGAAAAGTCTCTAAAATAGAGAGAGAAAAGAAAAAAAGTTTTTTGTTTTTCTCCTATTCTCACACGGTAACCAAGGAAAAAGGTTAGGGCTTTTGCGTCTTTCTCTCACCAAGGAACCTGTAACTAAAAAAAAAGAAAAATAAAGAAGAGATTTCACTTTTGGTTTCCTCTCTTATCACGTACCCAAGAAAAATAAATGAAAAATATATGTTGATATGAACATGAATGATCTAGACTATTTAAGCAATCAACCAAGTCAAGAAAGAAAACAATCCCTAAAGAAGTTTAAAGTCCATGAAAAATCACTCCCCATCCATTAAAGACTTTTTCCCACTCAAGAGAGATTTTTCTCTCAAGAATGAGAGTTTCATTTTCCTTTCAATACCTTTCTCAAGTGGCAAAAAGAAAATCAAGATCAAAGAATTTTAGAAATCCATCACAGGAGAATCAAAATCATATCTTTCAAGTTTTTGAGTGAAGAGCATATCTTTGTAAAAGAGTATATTCATATATGAGAAAAATAAAGGGAGATCATAGATAAATTCTAAGCATTTATTACAAGATCATGGACAAATTTACTTTCTTAAGAAATCAAAAGATCTTTTTTAAATTAAGAGATCTTTAAATTAAAAAATCTTTAAGATATCTTCAGTAAATTAAGAGATTTTTTATAGATCTTCTTAAATTAAGATATTTTCAAGATACTTTGTCATATTTTAAGTCCCTACATATTTAATTTAAGAATCTTTCTATGGGTGTCAACATCTCTATAAAATCGGTAAGGAATCTTCTTAAAACTCGAGATTGTCATCAATTAAGGAGAGATCTTCAATTGAGTTTTAAGAAGATTTCTTACCAATTTTATTGAGATGTAGATGCCTATAGAAAAATTCTTCAATTAAATATTATAGGGACTTAAAATATGGGAATATTGCTTAAAGATTTCTTAATTTAATAAAGATATCTTGAAAATCTCTTAATTTAAACCCCTTTTAGTTCCTTAGGAAAATGAATCCATCCATAATCTTGTGATAAATACTTAGAATCTGTCCATGGTCTCCATTGATTTTTTCCATATATGAATATACTCTTTTAGGAAGAAATGCTCTTAGTTTGGAAACTTGAAAAATATGATTTTACTTATCCCTTGATGGATTTCTAAAATTGTTTAATCTTGGTTTCCCTTTTGCCACTTAAGAAAGGTATGGAGAGGAAAAATGGAACTTTCTTTTTGAGAGAAAATATCTCTTGAGTGGGAAAAAATCTCTCATGTGTGGTGAGATATTTCCCATGAGCTTTTAACTTCTTTATGGGTCTCTTCCTTGTTTGACTTAGTTAGTTGCTTGAATAGTTCAAACCATCCGTACTCACATCACCTGCTTTTCTTTTGGCTTTATGTTTTGGGTGAATTATCAAAGAATGCAAGAGAGATAATAATATTTTTTTTCTCCATTATATGTTAATTAAAGTGTAGATTACCTTATACTTATTTTCTTTGATAGTAGATTGACTCAAAATTTAGTTTGTGGTTTTTCCTTCTACACTGAAGAGTTTTCCACGTATAACCATGTGTCTCTATTTTCTTTTACGAGGTTTTTTTTGCTTGCTAATATTCTATTTGAGTGTGCATTGATTCATTTAATATTGTTATTGAAGCCTTGAATTAATCTGTTAATGACCTTAATTTACAGAATTGATTACATTTCTTAATTAGGATCCAACAGTTTTAATTCCTTAGATTTTACTACTGATTCGATGTAGGTCAGAGTTAAGGGCTTGCCATGATGAATAACTTTAATGCTATTGTAATGGAGCAACTATGAGAACCTATCAGGATATTGAACTAATGGGGGAAGTTAGTTGATGGTTTGATAATATTTGGTTAAAAATAGAATTTAATAACTCTAACTTGTTGACAAGTATGTTTCTCATTATAGCCATGGGTGAGGAGCTTTAGGTGCACTTCTAATTTCACATTTGCTCATCCTGTCCAATTCTTGAAATTGGTATTGTCCTTTATCCCTTAGGTAAATTTCTTATGACCCATAGAATAAACTAGAACATAACCCAACAAACTCTAGACATATATAGGCCAAAGAAGTAATTTTACAGCAAGCCTTCCTTACTTCTTCATATGTGGCAGTTGCAAGAGCTCTTCCATGTAATTCTCACCTTTTAAGCTCAACTCAGACCCGTAGTCTAGTATATATACAAAAAACCTTCAATACTAACAAAAATCATAGTCGAGGGTTTTAGAGGTTTGTTTGTGAAAATAAAAAAGCTTGGGCTGTCTCAAGCCTCCATACATGTGGATAAACATATATACAATAGACTCGGGCTCTCAAATTAACCTATTTTTTTATATGCAATAACTCGACCCAATTATGGCCCATTTAGATTTAAATTGGTCTTGTAATGACTCCAGCCAATGGTTTGAATGTACACTAGAGCTTATAATCAAGTGAGTCCTCTTTTGTTTGTGTAAACATTCTTCTATGAATATATTTTACTTCTCAATTAATATATGTGTGTATATATATTATTTCACCCTTAAAATGTATTGATATAGGAGCCGAATATCAAATTTGATATTCTCTCAACACTAACGACAATACATATATTTAACTAATTTTGTTAAAATAATAAAACAAAAGAAAGCAACATGAACAAAATTATGATAAGCTTTCTAATCTCAAATTGTGATAAGATGCTCTATGTTTTGGCAGTATTCTACCAAGTGAGGACATGTCTAGGATAAATATAACAAAAAAAATTGTGAATTTATTTATAAATTTTTTATTTAATTTAATTAAAGACAATCTAAATTTTGTTGAGGAATTAATAAAAAATTAACTGTTTCTGCAATTTTATTTGAAATTAAACCAATACATGTCACTAGAGCTTCTAAATTCATAAAAAAACATCTTTAAATCTATCTTATCACGTGTTAAAAAAATCCCCTAAGCATGCTTAAATCTATCCCAATTAGCAGCTAAAGCTTGGTTGATACTCGTCTTTTTATGATTTACATGGTTTCAGATTCTAAAGCTTTTTTTTCTTCTCTTTTTTTTTTTTGAAGTCCTAGAGAAAATAAATGTTCGTTTATTTTATAACCATCTTGTCTAGAAAATAACAATCTTATCTTCTCTCTCTAAACAAACAATTGATTAAAAATGGTACAGACTTATTATTGAGAGGCGCACACAAGTTGCTGCTTGTCCCTTGAGTGAAAAAGATAATCTTCTTCACATTTTCTTGAAAAGAAGTGCTGTTGGTCAGAAAACAAGCTCAGCACAAAGAATAGTTTAAATGGTTCCGTTCACGATCCCAGCATGGCTTCCCCTCTTGCTGTTGCTCTCTGTTCTGCTGGTCGTGATGAAGAAAGTGATGTAGTCAAAGAAGCAGCATCCTCCAGGTCCTCCAGGGCTGCACCTCATTGGTAATATGCACCAACTTGGCGGACTTCTTCATCAATCTCTATGGCAGATGTCGAAGAAATACGGTCCTGTAGTCCGATTGAAGCTAGGAAGTGTATCTTTGGTTGTCGTTTCTTCAGACGAAACTGCAAGACAGATTCTCAAAGTTCACGATTTCCAGACTTGCAGCCGACCCAAATTGTTAGCCACAGGCGTTTTCTCTTACAATTATCTTGATATAGGTTTTACTCCTTTTGGCGAATACTGGAAGGAGGTCCGCAAGATTAGCGTTCATGAGCTTTTCAGCAACAGTAGAGTCCAGTCATTTAGGTACATCAGAGAGGAAGAGGTTGCTTCACTCGTTCAATCAATCTCTCAATCTGCTGCTTCCAAGTCTCCTGTGGATTTAACCGATAAGCTGTTTTTCCTTATAGCGAATATGATACTGAGGGTTGCATTCGGAGGCAAATTTGAGAAGAATAAATGCGAGAGCGGCGTGTTTCAAAGGAATGTCAAGGAAACGACGTCACTTATGGGATCCTTCGCTGCTTCTGATTTCTTTCCTTGTGTTGGATGGATTGTTGATAGGCTCACAAGTCTCCATGGTAGGCTCCAGAAGAGTGCACAAGAACTGGATGCTTTTCTGCAAGAGACAATTGATAAGTATGAAGGACATAAGGTAGAAGAAGGGAAGGAGGATATCATTGATGTGCTCTTAAAGATAGAGAAGCAGCAGAAGGAACAAGGTTCTGTTACTCTCACCGTAGATATATAACCTTTTTCTGATTCCATCTCCTTAATTTCAACAACACTTTGAGTAATGCCCATTAATACTGAAAATACATGAGTATGTAT